AAGCAAGTCAGTGGGGAAGCTGGCAGGAAGTTGCAAGCCCCAGGTGCTGCCGGGTGAAGGAGGGAGTGAGGGGGTGCCTGGGAGGGTCAGGTCGGGTGCATGGGGGTGCGGTGCTTCATGCTGAAATCCAAGCAGGATTTCGGCATGGGGCATTTAGTGCCCAGAGCTTTGGGGGTTGCCTGAAAATACCCTGCTTGGATTTTGGCACGGAGCTTTTTCAGCCAGTTATCAGAGACGAGAGTGAGTCCTCTCAGCAGGCAGCAGTGGCTTGCGACCTTCCCTGCCAGCCTCCCCATTAACTTTCCCGGTAGGCAGAAGGAAAAATTGCAAAGGGCGATCACATGATTGGAGGGTGCTTAGCAACCAGCCATAAGGGTGAACCAATTGCCAAGGGCCCAGATCGCTGTAACTTCAGGTACAGATCATAAGTCCCTTTATTCAAAGTCGTCGTAACTTTGAATGGTCACCTAACAAATGGACGTTAAGTGGGGACTACCTGTAGTGGTATCATTTACCAGTTAGACATCTTCCTTATGTGAAGTGCCTGTTTTATCCTTTTGCCTTTAGTCTGTGCTATTGTACAACTGGTCTTTTACTAAAAGCTAGCTTCACCTATTGCAACATACAAAGTCAATAGTAGTTACACATAATTCAGAACAGAAAAAGTAAAGTGAAAAGACTCTGGCTACTTAGTCATGTTAAATAATGAGGGTTGTAGTCCAATATTCCAGGAAGCCACTGGATTGGGTAGGTAATCATGTGGTATTTCACTGAGAGTTGTGTTGGTCTGAACTAGATGGGTCTCTCCTACATTATAAATTTATTTACAAAATTGTTTGGACACAAGGTGGGAAACTGTTTTTTCTCTGGATTATGTTATGGAACTGGACTTGAATTGCCTTTTACAGGAAGAAAAAAGAACCCTGTGTCAGAAAATTCCAGGACAGTTGGCAGACAGTTGGCCAGGACAAGAGACATAAGGGGCAGGATGGAAAACAGGTGAGTTTAAGAAAACACATAAATTAAACAAAGTGTATTATTCTATCCGTAATCAAGACCTAGCCAACCTTGAGGCTCAACTTTTGAGCCTAATCTCAAAAAGTTAAGCAGAGGTGTATCTGGTTAATCCTTGGATGGGAGACTACCAGTTAATTCCAGGTTTGTAGTCTAGACTGGGAGACTGAAAACATCCTGAAAAAAGTCATTAGCAAAACATTTCTATATAGCTGACAAGAAAACTGCAAGGATATGTCCATGCGATTCCTGGTGTTCAAACTCAGCTTTATCTTTCAAGAATACCAGTTGTCACCCTAGTCAGTGGAAGCTTAACTACTAACTTCAAAATTGAACATAGGTTTGTACAATATATCCTGGACAGTCCTATAATTAGACAGAGTGAGGGAGGCACCTCAGTTGACAAGTGGTATGGGATGGAAGTGGAGAGCAGACGTGAGATGTTGGAGGACATATGTCTTTTGCAGCACTTCGTAAGTCAGGGATTCTGAACTTTTTCTGGGCCAGGGATATTCCGTGGTCTTTTCTGTGATATCCAAGGACCATGCCTGTGAATAACAAAAACTAAATTGGGTTTGGTTTACATTTAAAGATCATTGTAATTCAATGCAATTTGGCCATCACCATAGAATGTGGAAGAGATTGGGGCCTCATTACATCTTTTTATCCCACAGTCAATCATAAGTCAAAGCAGATACAGGGAGACTCATGTTATCAACCAACAATATTTGAACAGAAATGGAAAATTAAATATAGTTAATGTAATTATTCTTCAAACATACTGTATATTTAATATTTTCCCTTTTTGTCATGTTAAAAATTAAATGTAGTAACAATTTTTGGAGGCCTCTGCTGGATGCCCGGGACTCAGGAACATGAGGTCATGTACTTCTGTGCTGCCCTCAGGTGGCTGGAAGACAATGTTTTGTTGCCATCACTGAAATGAGATTCAGTTGTCAATCCAGTCAGCTGTGAAATTGGGGAGGGAAGCAGAATATCATTTTGTCCTTGTCTGAGGCATCAAAATCTTATGAGCATGTCCTGAAGCATTTGCAGACAAAGAACAAGAACATGCAGTTGTGGTAAAGTGGTGACATTTTACTGGCCAAATAGGCTGGTTTACATTATTTCAAAGTTCAAGGTATTACAGGTTTTTCAGTAGATGTTCTAACATTGCTGTGTATCAAGTGCTAATATATACAGATGGCATTTGATTCATGATCTCTTTTCAATGTGGAGGTAATGGCTTGTGACTGTGGATGCTAATAACAACCCCTGAAAATGCTTAGGGGCACTCTGTTAATCCTTTAGCACTGGCATTAAAAACTTCTAGCATTAAACCCTACTAACCTTGTCTGAAATTCAAAGCCTGCAGGACTTTGAACCATTTTATACAGCTGTATAGAATTAAAGACTTTTTTCCTCAGGAAAGCACAAAAGAAGCTTCCTTCCTTCCTGAACTCTGCAGGAACCAAAGAATGTAAAAAGGGGTAAGGGAAAAGAAAGAGAGAGAGAGAGCAAGAGAGAGTGAGAAAGAGAAAGAAAGAGAAAGAGAAAGAAAAAGAGAGATGTCTCACTCTATTCTCTTCTACTCCAGGGATTAGCTCATTATTTTTCTTTGAAAAAACTATGCAATTTGTCAGCTTTTCCTAGCCCCTCTACACTTCCCTGTCCCCTCTACACTTATTTTTCAATATAAAATTAATCTTGCCAGCTATGCAGTAGTATAGCTGCCAATTTTAGGCATTCTTCCAAAGCTGACAAAGAGTTACTTCTTAAGGAACCAACATGCGAAGGTAAATTAACTTCCATTTTATTTTTGCAGGCTGGAAGATAAAAACAAAACAAAATGATCCTCAACCCTTTGTACACTCAGAACATGTCCAGGCAGCTTTATTTTGAGGAGTCACTATGCTGCTTCTACAAATCTAATCCTTACAGTACAACAGGAGTCAGCAACACACAGGCTCCAGTGGCCCCTCCAAAACAGCTCCTATAACCCCTACATTATATTACAATTAAAATAACCATTAAATAATTTACAAGCAACAATTTATTTTAAAAATTAAGAAATTACACAAATCTCACCAGATCACTAAATATACAGTATCAGTTGGATGCAACCTCTGAGTCCATATAAGTTAGAAGAATCAATAAGGACATCTTGCTTTCCATTGTGAGCATTCAGGATACTGGAGAAATAGTGGGAAGCTGTCATTCCCAAAGACTTTCCATAGTATTTGTGTCTACAACAAAAGCAGGTTGCTTGCTGGAAATACTAATTTCGCTGTAAAATAAAATGGAAAATTGGTTATGAACTAAGTGAGGAGTCTCATCTAAATACTTCTTATTCTACACTGATATTGTAGAATGTTCATTCCTCTTAAAAGAATTTCAGCCAACCTGGTGTCCTGCAAATGTCGAACTGAGTATGCTGCCTGGGACTTCTGGGAGTGGCAGTCTTTACACATGTGTAGGACCCCCGAGTTTGAAAAAGCTAATTTATTTTAAGATTTGAGGTTTAGTCCAGTTCTTTTAGCAGTAGAAATTTGTTATTTTATATTGTATTGCTTGACTCTGCTCTACCATTTCTAAATCCACCTGATCTCAGATCTGTTGAAAAGTCTTAGGCCATCTCCACACTAACCATGCTGGCAATAGCATTTGGATTTGCCTTCAACTTGTCCCCAGTCCATGAATGAAACAGGCTAAAGTTGTCCTTTGTTTGTTTGTTTGTTTGTTTATTTAATTTGTATGCCGTCCATCTCCCCCAATGGGTGACTCAATGGGCGGCATACATTAATTAATATTAAAGTAGCATCTTCCCTCTTACTCCACAGTGTTCAAAAGACAGACTCCATGCATATAAAATATGTTAGTCTGTCACCCATTATCTAGGAGGGAAGTTGGATGCCAGCAGGAACTGGAAACAGAAGTAGTAAAGCAGGATAGGGACTGGCAATGGGGATGGTAAACTTCATGCTGATATAGGATGGGTGATCACATTGTGATCACTGGGACATTGGGAGGCAGCTATGAGGTGCCAGAAGGTGCAGGTTACACAGCTGGACCTTCTCCCTTCAAGCACTGTGCCAGAAAAAAGAGCAGAAGACAGATTCAGATGCTCTACTGTTCAGCTTTTGTATAGGGGATCTGAGGGGGGTTGAGCCTTTTTATAAACCAACTAACAAACAAAGCAAAGGGAACTCCATGGAGCATGACAGAAAATTAAAACACAAGACTCAGCCTAAAATACCAAAGAAAATGAAATCCCTCCTGAGCATACGTCTTCACTGGCTGTGGAAACATACAGAAGATAAGATTTTCTAACAGGAAATAAATTTTAGAAACCAAGTCTTCAAAGTTTTTCCTAAGATGATTTACAAGATAAAAATATGATATTGAAGCAACAATATTTTGTAGAATAAAGCATAAAAACAACAAATCTAGATTAGATTAGAATAAATCTAATGCCTGAAATAAATCTTGGCAAAAATGCCGACGAGAATAACACTAATATTAAGGTTGGCACACAAAAAAACCCCTTCCCTTAACTGAGAATTCCAAGAAGAAATATTCAGATCGATAGCCCCTTTCAAAACAGAATGCTACAGGTTGCACTAGCACAATTACTATGGTAATGTATGAATTTATCAGTTTCACAACAGCTGCAGATAAGTGCAGATAAGGAATCTGCAGATAAGTGCCACCAAATTCTGTAAAGGCATCTGACAAAAAAACAAAAAGCAACCCTTTGAACAGTAACCTATGAAATTGTGTGTGGAGAAGCTAACTTGGCACAGTATCATGAATTTTTAATGCTTGGCACACTCTAAATAGAAAGCTAGCTAAGTTTCAGCTAACAGGAATGCAAGGTTGGTCACCAGGGCAAAGTGTGTCAGGCTGCAGTCTTGCATCCATTTGTCGAGACTTAGCCCCCAATGGAATTTACTTCAGCCTGTATATCAGGGAAATACAACTTTCACTGAACTGGGGGCTTTTAAATGACATGTTAGGAAAGTAAAATCAAATCCACAAGTGGGTGCAAAAAAGGCAATTTTTTAGGCAACGTTAATAGTATAACAATCATAGAATTGTGAAGTTGGAAGGGACCACAAGGATAATTTACTCCACCCCTCAGCAATATGCAGGAAAACCAATTAAACCACCCGTGGGAGGTGGTTGTCCAATCTTTTTTAAAACTTCCAGGGATGAGAAATCCATAACCTCCACAAGTAGCTTTTCCACTCCTGTGCAAATCTTACCACCAGGAAGTTTTCATTTCAACAAAACTTGGGTAACTGCAATTTACACCCATGTTTTCTGGTCCTAGTTTCTGTGGCAATGGAAAATAGTTCTTGGCTATCTTCCCTATATTGTACCACCCCTTTAGGTACCTGAAAGGCAAACCAGCTTTCTTTGAAGTCAGAGCTAACTCTGGACTCAGAATCATGCTGTCCTTCCAAAAACAGAAAGAACAGCACAGGATTAATGGCATTGCTAAAGTATTAATAATCAAGAAGATTCCTTTATGTACAGTTTAGGGCTATATGCGAAAGCCCAGATAGCGTGGTAGGAAAACTGTTAGCTGTTTTAGTTTATGTTCCCACTGTGGCTTTTAAATTGCTGTATTATTTTCTATGCTATAATTTCAGCTTACAGTACACATTGAAGATTTTTTTATGCATATAATAACTGTAGCTTCACTCTATAGTAATGACATTGTGCTAGTTGTTACGATGTGGTGCACTTATAAGCGTAGCATATAGGTGCTGGGAATAGACAGCTGTGGTCTCCCAGCAACCACACCTGCAGGAAAAGCAAGTTTTCAATTACTCTTTGCTTTCATGTATCATGCTGCATAAAATGCCTATCCATTTTTCACAATAGGGAAATTTAGCAGTGAAGGTGACCATTGCTTATAGCTAGATATAATGTGACATAGCAGCAAGGAGAGGGGATAAAAACGCAGCCCACTCTACATTACAAAACTTTATTCCCAGTTATAATTTATTGTATCCTTTCATCATTCTCAGCTGCTATAAGGCTTCCTTTCTTTTGAGCAGAAAATCATAGCTGAGTGTTCACAGCACAGAGAATTCCAGTATTCAGTGTCTTGCATTTTTGATTACATCTGAACTAGACCTATGCAATTATGTAAGAGTACAATAAAATCCTCTTCCTCCTCCTCCTCCTGCAATGATATCTTTAACACCATCAAACAACATCTGCCTATCCCAAGTCCTTGGGAAGGACTCGATAGGTGGATAAAAATGTCAAATCCAGTCTAAACGTGGCTGACTGTGCGACCAACAACAATAATAATAATAATTTGATTTATATGGCTGCCCATCTCATCTAAGCAACTCTGGCTCACAACAAGTAAAAACAACAATTCAATAAAAAGTTTAAAACCCCAATATACAAACATAAAAAAACCCCATTAATAATCATTTTAAAACAAAAATAATCACGATCAGCGGCAGAATCCATCCTTGGGTCAAGCTCAACAAAGCCATTGTAAAAGCTCCCCACCATTGCCAGACCCCCAGGTGGCAGAGCCATGTCTTCAGGGCCTTCCTAAAGGCTGGGAGGGTTGGGCCAATCTAGGTATGGGGTGGATGATATCCACAGGGTGGGCACCATGGCAGAAAAGGCTGTCTTCCTGGGTTCCACCAGATGACACTCCTTCATATACAGGACCCATAACACACCTCTCCTGCCAGTCCTGATGGAATAGGTAGATGTAACCAGGGATAGGTAGCCCCTCAAATAACCTGGCCCCATGCCATATAGGGCTTAATAGGTCATTACCAGCACCTTGAATTGCACCTGGAAGCATACTGGCAACCAATGCAGGTTGCAGAGCAGAGGTGTAACATGCACTGATGGAGTTGCTCACATAATTTCCAGCGCCACCACATTCTGCACCAGCTGCAGCTTTCAGATGCTCTTCAAGGGCAGCCCCATGCAAGTCTGGAAAGCGTGTCAGAGTTTCTCTCTGCCCCGTCTTTCACCAAACAGAATGAAGTCAGAGTTATTTTGGGGGTTTTTCTCATGCTTTTGGCTTTCCCAGGACTGAGTTGCTGTTTTTCCTCCCTTAATTAAAAAATTAACAAAAAGTATTCACCATGTTAAAAAAGGAACTATGCCAACCAATATGGAAAGAAAAATTGACATACCGATTATAGCTGTTTCTTGAAGTTTCAACTTTAAGATAATTTGGCGAGTAGTGATAAACTTCAGTCATTGATGTTTATATAATATGATCTGAAAATCCTTCTGTTATTAATTAAAGATAAACTTTCATGAAGAAATGTTGCAAGATCCCCATTTGTTCTACGACAGTTCTCAGTAGCTCGCCAAATATTGGTTTGATTTTCATTTTTGAAAAGGTGTTGATTATACAGACTTGTTACTGCTGTCACTCATGTGGGGGCAAGCATTTTCTCATACTGCTTCCAACTTGCCAAGCTAGTTACTTTTTCCTAAGTAAATTGAAGGCAATATCTGAAATATGATTTTTTTAAACTAAGCTGTTATGTTTAGAACTGTGAATTATATGTAATGAGCCCATAAAATATATTAGAAATAAAACGGGCAAATCACCAAGTGTTGCTTTCGTAGGTGATCTGCCTATTTCTGTGGAGAAAAAAGGGAGCTAAAATGGAAGTAGATGTGGTTTATTTTCTGTGGTGAGGTCCTTACAACACATTTATCTTAGCTTAACACTTGTCTGTTTACTCAATTAATTCAGACCAAGAACTAACCATATGGCTGTGTTCATACAACACATTAACCCTAAAGATTAGGCTAAATATGTGGTTTGCTAATTTGTAGTTCAAAGTGTTTCTTGAGTATAGCATGTGAGAAAAGCAAAGTTTAAAGCCCCACAAAAATAAATAAAACATATGACATAGAGGAATAGGTAATTACTCGCTTTTAATAGAAGATTAATAGATAAGCTGTATAGAAGTTTGCAAAGAAATAAGTACCATTATGTAGAAATGTGCTTATTCCTTAGGACAAGAATGGTAAAACTCAGGTCCATGGCTTGAATTTAGATTGCCAGGTTAAATCCTGCAGCTGTTGGAGGTGAACTTTGCTGCCTTTCAGCTGGGGCTTTGTCCATCACTCACAGATGATGGGAAGACAGAGGGAACAGCAAAGCTGCCTCATCCTTCTCAGGACTAGCCTATGGAGTAATCTAGTTGTTGAGCCAGATTGTGTTCCCTATCCTTACCATAATATGTTT